AGGCCGGGAGCTTGCCCAGGCAGGACCTGCCCTTGGTGAAGCCGTGCTGGCTGTCCTGAATCACCTCCCTGTCCTCCCTGTGCCTCAGCAGAGCTTCTGGAAGGATCAGCTCCGTGATCTTCCCAGCACAGAGGTGATGCTGGCAGGCCAGGAATTCCCGGGGACTTCCTTTCTACGCCTTTTAAAGATGGGTGCGATGTCTCCCTCCTTCCAGTCCCCAGGGACTTCCCTGGACTTGCCAGGGCTTTTCAAATATCACAGAGAGTGGCTCAGCAACTCCATCAGCCAGTGCCCTCAGGACTCCAGGATGCATCTCGTCAGGTCCCACAGACTTGTGTCTGGTTCGGTTCCTCAGGTGGTCACGAACTTTGTCTTCCCCTAGAGTGGGAGGGAGTAGGAAAGTAAGTAAAGGAGGAGAAAGCGTGCATTGTTACTGCATTGTTATTGTGTTCATAGTAGGAGAATCACAGAATTGCAGAATGTGAGGGGTTGGAAGGGACCTCTGGAGATCATCGAGTCCAACCCTCCTGCCAGAGCAGGACCACAGAGTCTAGGGCAGGTCACACAGAAAAGCCTCCAGCCGGATCTTGAAAGTCTCCAGAGAAGGAGACCCCACACCCTCTCTGGGCAGCCTGGGCCAGGGCTCTGTCACCCTTAGAGTAAAGAAACTCTTCCTCATGTTGAGGTGAACCCTCCTCTGCTGTTGAGGTGGAACTTGCTGTGCTCCAGCTTGAATCCATTGCCCCTTGTCCTACCACAGGGCACAAGTGAAAAGAGCTTGTCCCTTCCTTCTTGACACCCAGCCCTCATATTTACACACATTAATTAGATCCTCTCTCAGTCGTCTTCTCTCCAGACTAAAAAGCCCCTCTCAGCCTTTCCTCCGAAGGCAGGTGTTCCAGTCCCTTGATCCCCCTCGTAGCTCTCCCTTAGACTCTCTCCAGTAGGTCCCTGTCTCTCTGGAACTGGGGAGCCCAGAACTGGACCCAGGGTTCCAGGGGTGGTCTCGCCAGGGCAGAGCAGAGGGGCAGGAGAACCTCCCCAGCCCTGCTGGACACACTTTTCTTAATGCCCCCCAGGATCCCACTGTCCCTCTTGGCCACAAGGGCACGTTGGATAACTACTTGTGCACCAGGATTCCAAGGTCCTTCTCCCTGGAGCTGCTCCCTAGCAGATCGCAACCTGTGCTGGTGCATTTTATTATTCCTTCCCAGGGGCATTACTCTGCTCTTACTCTTGTCAAACCCCATTAGGTTCCTCTTTGCCCAGCTCTCCAGTCTGTCCAAACCTTGCTGAATGGCCACACAGCCTTCAGGTGTATCAGCCAAGCCTCCCAGTTTCATATCGTCAGCAAATATGCTGAGAAGACACTGTCCCATCATTGAGGTCGTTGATAAAGACGTTGAACAGGAGTGGACCCAGCACTGATCCCAGCAGGACTCCACTAGCTACAGATCTCCAGCTGGACTCGGCACCACTGATCACCACTCTTTGGGCCATATTGTGTAGCCAGTTCTTAATCCATCTCACTGTCCATTCTTCAATCCCACACTTCCTGAGCTTGCTCACGAGGATGTTACAGGAGATTGTGTCAAAAGCCTTGCTAAGGTCATCCACTGGTCTCCCTCCGTCTACCCATTCAGTCACAACGTCACAGAAGGCTATCAGATTAGTCAAGCATGATTTCCCCGTGCTGAGTGCTCCTGATAACCTTCTTCTCTTCCATGTGCTTCGAGATGACTTCCAGAATGAGCTGCTCCATCATTTTTCCAGGGATGGGGGTGAGGCTGACTGGTCTGTAGTTTCCTGGATCTTCCTTCTTGCCCTTTTTGAAGACTGGAGTGACATTGGCTTTCCTCCAGTCCTCAGGCACCTCTCCTGTTTGCCATGATCTTTGGAAAATGATGGAGAGTGATAGAGCAACAACATCAGCCAGCTCCCTCAGCACTCTTGGGCACATCCCATCAGGGCCCATGGACTTGTGACTGATTCTGTGACTTGATGTGTACTCAGTTTGCATAACTGATCTCTAACCCAGTCTTCACTGACTGGTGGAGAGTCTTCCCTCCTGCAGGCTTTCTCTCCTGCACCCAGGGTCTGGAGTTCACAAGGGCCAGTCTTAGGAGCACAGAGTGAAGCAAAGAAGGTATTCGGCAGCTCTGCCTTCTCTTCTTCCTCGGTTGTCAGGGCTGCCACCCCATTCAGCAGTGGGCCCACACTTTCCCCGTTTTTCCTTTTACTACTGATATATTTAAAGAAGCCCTTCTTGTTCTCTTTTACTTCCTTCACCAGTTTTAGTTCTAAGAGGACTTTGGCCTTTCTTGTAGCCTTCCTACGAATCCTGACAACATCCCTGTAGTTCTCCCAAGTGACAAGTCCCTTCTTCCACAAACTGTAGATTTCTTTCTTGCACGAGACTTTCCTCAGAAGCTCCTTGCTCATCCATGCAGGTCTCCTACCACGTCTTCCCGATGTTTTGCTCAAGGGAATGCACCTGTCTTGGGCTTAGAGGAAGTGGTATCTAAAAATTTACCAAATTTCTTGGCCCATGGGATTCCTGCAAGTAGATCTTTGAAGAGCACAAAGTTAGCCCTGCTTATGTCCAGGATTGTAATCCTACTTATTGCCCTGCTTCTTCCTTGCAAAATGCTAAACTCCACCATGTTGTGATCACTGTCGCCAAGGCCGTTCCCAGCCTTCATGTCCCCAGCCAGTCCTTCTTTATTTGTTAATGCAAGGTCCAGCAGTGCACCTCTCCTTGTTGGCTCCTCCACTGCCTGCAACAAGAGGTTACCATCCATGCACCGCAAGAGCCTTTTGGACTGAATATACGCAGCTGTGTGGGCTTTCCAACAAATATCAGGGTGATTGAAGTCACCCACAAGTACCAAGGAGTGTGTTCTAGAGGCTACCGCTAGCTGAGTGTAGAAGACGTCATCAACATCATCTTCGTGGTTTGGTGGTCTGGAGTAGACGCCCACAACAGTTTCACCCCTGTTTGTGTGCGCCTTAAGTCTTACCCACGAGCTTTCAACCCGTTCTGCCTCCTCCCCGGACAGAGCTCAGCACCTTCCCTTCCAGTTGCTCTCGCACATAAAGAGGAACCCCACTACCTCGCTGGGTTGGTCTGTCTTTCCTCAACGGGACATAGCGTTCCAGTCGTGGCACGTGTCCCACCAGGTGTCAGTGAGCAAGAGCCAGAGCAAACACTGCGCAGTGGGCAGGTCCAGCTGACTACGAAGCCTTGAGTTCCAGTGCAAAAGCTGTGCAGTAGGCCCTGAGTAGTACATTGGAAGGAATTAAGGTGTTGCCACCAGTGACAAGTTATTTATCTTCATTTGTGTTACCATGGACGATACATTTGTGATTCCCTCATTAACATTAGTTTAAGGACTTTGTCTTTCATTCTGGCACCTTTTGTATCCTTGCACTAACTGGGGAGCTTGCAGCATATCAACCACTGAAGTTTGTGTCTTGTCTCAGCCTAAGGAGACTGTGGTGTCCCGCTGGCGTGCCGACCCATGGGCCCGGGGATCATACTCCTACGTTGCAGCTGGATCTTCTGGAAATGACTATGATTTGATGGCTCAGCCAATTACTCCAGGCCCAGCCATTCCAGGTGCTCCTCAGGTGAGAGATGTCTCGATTCTCTTAAAAAACCCTCAAACCAGGATGATTTTTTAAAGTTACTTGCATGCATATCTAACCACAAGCTTAGATAATTTGCATCTTCTGATGAATGATTAGAACCTGTAAAATAATTCACATTTCCATCCACGAATTCTGCCTGGTTCCCAGATTTGGCATCATAGAAAAAGAGCGCTTTTATTCCAAAAGTCAATTTGCTGATGCCTGAACAGAGTGTTATAATATTTACATTTCCTGTGTTTCATACTCCATCTTTACGGCATTGTTCACCATATTCAGGTGAGTTGTAGTGATTTGAAAGGGTGAAGGTCAGAGGGAGGGGAACAGCAGTCAAAACTCTCTCCCAAACTGGGAGCAAACACAATGAAGGCAGAAGTCGTTTCAGGCTCACTTTGAGAGAATGAAGTTTTGAAAGCAGCAGCCATTCGGAAAGCACCGGAGAGAAGGATGTCTGGCTTCAGCTTTGCTTAGGTTCTTTTTCTAGTAATTCAATATGAATAAACATAGCTATGGATAAAGTTATTCTCTGCAGAGTGTAGTATGTGAAGTCTGTTTTTCTCCTGATTTTATGACACAGTCAAGGCTTAGGTCTTGGTTTAAGTGAATTGCTGAAGTTTTTGTTTGCTTCTTGTGCTAGAGGCCATGTCCCAGGATCACAAACCATCATTCTTAAATGTGTTTAACGTGATTTTGGCTGCAGAGTTGGAGACAGAAGATTCAGATGCGTTTTTTGTATACAGCTGAGGATGTTAATCTCCTGCGCTTATCTGGTTCTGAAAGGATTGTTCTGAAAGTAGAGCTTTATTACCTTGGTATCAAAGCAATGATATTGGCAAATAGTTGGAAAACATTTCCTCAAATTACAGTCACTATGTGCGTGAAACCCTCTTGTGAAATGAAAGATGTACAGAAAGATTGTCTTGGTAATTTCTAACACAGGGTAAAATATTTTTAATACAGACTTTTACGTTAACCTCCGTGTTAATGGAGACTGTGGTGGGATTGGAGGACTTTTGACCTTGTTCTTAAAGTACCCACGTGCTGCAGAATCTGAAAGACTGCGACCAAGCCCTAACAGTGTCCTCTGTTCCCCCAGCCCATCCCTCGCCTGTTCTTTGCGGGAGAACACACAATCCGCAACTACCCAGCGACTGTCCACGGCGCTCTGCTGAGCGGGCTGCGGGAGGCCGGGCGCATCGCCGACCAGTTCCTGGGCGCCATGTACACGCTGCCCCGGCAGCCCACGCCCGGGGTG